ACTATGGACGAGGAGCAGTTCGTGAGCATCGACCTGGACGACGACAACGTCTGCAGCGTCTGCAAGCTGGGGACCGAGAAGGAAACGCTCTCCTTTTGCCACGTGTGTTTCGAGCTGAACATCGAAGGTAGCGTTTTCACGGGGAAGTCCTCCGGCGCAAAGTGTCGGTCCGGGGCTGCTTGAGCGCAAATTGCGCTGGTCTGAAAGCTTTCGGAAAGGCTTGGGTTCGAAGACGCCTGTGTTTAAAAAAGCTTTTCTTTGCTGGCCAGACCAGTTCGTTAGCTTCCTAAATAGCTCACTTCCAGTAAAGGCGGGGGGGGCCCCTGCCCCTCTGGATGTAAAGGTGTACCCCCCCCCGCCCCCGCCCTTCCAAGAGCTTCTGAAATGCCCCGGTGTTAATTTGACTGTCTGGTGTTAGACCTCTGGTGTTAATTCGGATCTGAAGGAGTTTTTGTTCAGCCTTTATTCAGGGGTTTTGCTCAATAGTTAGAGGGGTCTATGTGTAAAACTTTTGTAAATCGCAAGTTTTAAAGCGCAGTAGGTTTTCTTGGAAGCAGATGAATGTTTCACTGGGGGTAATCAGAGGGTTATTTATTTTTGCTTTCATAAAGTGATAATACGTGTGATATGATAAAACTGGGTTCACTGTCAAAGCTTCTTAAAGTTTGCAAATTATAAGGTAGGAATTTTGACCGTCTTTTAAAAGACTAATCTTGTAAGCTTTGTGTCTGGTCTCCAAAACGGTAGGTTTAAAACTTCAGACCTTGTTTTGCTGAAGAATTTACTCATCTTGTTGCTGCTCTTCATGTATGAACCAAGTGTGGGGCATCAGTGAGCAGCAGCAGATTAGTTATTTCCCTTTTTTCAGCCAAATAAGGATTTTTGAAAATACAAGTGGTGTCGTTTGATTTGGGGGGCAACAAAGTAATTTGTGACAGTTATATACAGTGGAATTTGCCAATTGTACGTGCATGTGACTACCTAGAATAATCTGTATGGGTATGGGGCAATTGAATATGAAGATCTTAACGCTGTTATATGAATAGTCCCATTGCGGTGTCTCTGGTATATATGAGAGTGCACTAAAGGTCTTAAGATGAAGTCTTTCTGAGCGTAAAGTGCTGTGAGATATGAGCACTGTATCCAGTGATCTAGTTGTTTGTTCTGAACCCTAGAAGCATAAAACTGACTGGAACTGGGGGAGGCTGTAAAGATGTGTATTCCATGCACTGTTTCTGTTGTGCATCTGACTTTTAATGCGTGTGTAGATAATAAAATTTTGTTCTTACCTTACAGAAATCTGAAAAATGCCTTAGCAAGTTAGAATCACTTGAAACACAGTACTGAGTCAGTATTTTAAATTTAAAAAAAAAAAAAATTATGCCTCTAAGGTCTTTGCTACTAGACGCTATATATTTTAATCTGAATAATACTTTTGTACTTCAGTAGTACTTTGCATGCTTTATGCTTTTGTTTAGAAGAGACGTGCTTGTGTATTTGCACTTTTTGATAAAACTCAGAGCAACTCTTTAACCTAAGACAACCTGTCAGTCTACTTGAGTTTTTTACTGCTTTAAAATGATAGGCTTATGGTTCTCAATATGAAGTGGAGTTAAGATGTTTCTCTCTCTAGGCTTTAAAATGAGGAAAAAAAACATATTGCCATAATGAGAATTAAGTATTTTGATTACATTCAGAATCTAGTTTTGTTTTGGAAGTGTTGAAATAAATAAAATAGGATGCATTAAAAAATTGCTGGATGGTTTCTATCCTCCGTTGTTTGAGATAAGCAGTGGATTTGTCAAAGTTACTTGTTATGGGTATTACTTTACAAAATGATCACGTGTTTTAGCTGGAACAGCTTTCTTTTTTCTGGAACACTAAGCAGACTTGATAATAGTAAAAGCTTAATCTGTGCAGCAGATGATTTTGCATAATCTTCTAAATTTTTGGTTAATTTTAAAAGACGACTACTTAACAGAATACTGATGAAAGCTCACCTGAAATTACATGAACCATTATATTCTTAATCTTTTACTTTGCATAGTAAAAGAAAAGTATTAATATCTTTGATCGTTATAGCATCAAAATACCCCTATTTCTGATATTCTGTCTTCTGTGTACTTTGAAAAGACGTATGTTACTGTTTTTATAGGGAGAGGAGGCTTAAGGGGGGCAGAGGTTGTGCAAGTGACTTAAAAAGTCTTATTACGATTCTTTATAAGCTGAACCACTGCATGAGCCAGTCCTTTACCATATCGGTGCTCACACTCTTCCTGCTTTTGACATATCTATTGTATTTTGCTGTGAGAAAGACTGTGATTTATATTCTATACATCTAAAATAAGAATCTTTTGGCAGCCCTGGGTAGGGAATGAAATGGATAATTGACTGACTCAGAACGTTATACTCAATGTTTTCGTATTAACCTCCTGCTTGTGTTTTAGTGAAGTTCAGATGCATTGTGACCTAGGTATTTGTTGAACAGTCAGGTGTAAGTTGTATCAATTCTGTAGGTGTACTGTGCCACACAAGTGAGTGTCATTCTCGCTAATAGTTTGCCTTTTTATTTAACATCATACTTTAAAACCCAAGCAATTCATACATGTACATATATTTTTAAGTAATCTGGGAAGTGAAATGGGCTATTCTAAAAAGATATTCATGCAACAGCTAGGACAGTGCTTAAGGCTTACTCATTTTTAGTGTTGATGTGCATGCGTAACTTCTCCCTCAGCAAAGTAGGAAATAGCTGCTGTTCAAGAACAGGCAGGCTATTAGTCACAGCTCAGCATCTTGCAGGCTGCTTAAGTACTCCCACTGTTTGCAGCACCCTGTTAACTTCCATGTGTGAAGTGCTGTCTGACTTAAAGGGAATGTGTAGCACCTCCTCCATTTTCCCAGTCCTCGCTAGGAGGTGGGTCAGGATAGAAGGGAGCATTGCAGATGCATGTGCAAGGGCAAGTGGTGAACGTGGCAGTGTTAGGTTTACAGTGGGACTCGATGATCTTAAAGGTCTTTTCCAACTGAAATGATTCCATGATTCTATGAGTTTATGTATGAAGTTCTGGAAGTAGGTTTCCCAATTTCCTTTTAAAAAAGGGTGTCATATTCTAGTGCAAAGCTCATGAGAACAATTCTGTTTCCCTTTGTGCCAGCATCTGATTGCTTAAAGCTGTCCTATGGTAAATCCACACACTTGAAACGGATCCAGCCCAAGGCTTAACCACCCGAACCTGCTCTGAAACAGACTTTCTCAAATGTGTATAAACAAAACACTACGTAAATATAATTTACTTAGCTGTGCTTAATTACACTACAGTATCGTATTGGTGAATCTTTGTGTCTTCTGGCATCTGTGAGTTCAACAGCTGTACAAGTTTGCTCCTGTGTAGTTGGTAACGTTGTTGATCATCTTGGTTAAGTAAGATGAGTAATTAGAAATGAGCAAGTCGGAGACCATCCCCATCTGTAATGACTCAACAGACTTCTTCCTGGATCACTGTTGTGATGTGTCTCAGCCTTTACCTTCCTGACATTGGGGTGGGTTTTTGTAACCTTTATTATGTTTGGACAAAAGCTTGGTAGTGATACATAGTCGAAAAAGAAAAACCCCCAAAAATCAGGTTGATCTTATAGTCCTTTACAGAGAAGACTGCTACTGCTATACAGAAAGCTTAGTCTGTGGTCTGCCTTAATGAATTAACTGCTGAGTTTCTGAATGAGGAAGTTAGTTACTGAAATCAGGACTCAGTCATAATTGTTTTTAATAGTAGATTTTTAGTCTTTCAATGAAATAAATTGATACATTAGCCTAAAATGTGATTATGCTTCATACTAAGTTAATTCACAGGAACCACTGGTTGGAGTGCAGTTCGGAGTTCAGGTGTGGTGTCTGTCCCAGAATTTATTCAGGAGCGATGTATATGGATTATAGGGTCTGTTTCTCTGAACTTGACTGAAAGAATGGTACCAAAGGGAGGAGAAAAGGGAAATAGGCATACGGAATGAACAGAAAGCCAAGATGCAGGTTTAAACTTTCTCCTATTACATGTCACTAACCTTCCCTGAGCAGGGAGAGAGCAATGTTCTTCGGAGAGTTTGGTAGTGCTAATCTTCAGTCTAAACAGGGGTGAGGTGGTGTGTCTTGAAAGGACAGGATTTTTGTCCGTGTTGTGCTTGCTCTTTCAGCTTGCTTAGGTTAAGGATTCATGCTCAGGGAAGCTGAGTGAACTAAGCAACACATAAATACTTTTGTTGTGAAACTAGCTTTTATGTGTGAAGGATCATTACTGGATGATTTAGCACAACAGAATACTGACGTGATTCTTAATCTTTAAAATATGCAGAGTAGTTGCATATGAAATACTAAACTAACATTTTTGAGAAATGAAGTTGATTCTGCATGGTGGTTTTAAAGTTCTAGATGGGGTTTAGAATATCCTGGTGGTGTGGGTCTGCAGGAGTTTGATGTTGGCTTTTGTTTGCCTTGTGCAGGCAAAGTGAACACCAGCAGAGATTGTTGTGTACTGTTTTGTTTTCCAAGTAGGTGTCACAGTAGTAATCAGTGAAACAGGAAATGTTTTAAATTCATGTGTAGCTAGATTGCATAAGGCAGGAAATCATGTGTTGTGTGTTTGAGACAAATTTCTTCTTCTTAATTTCATTATAATATGGGAAAATGATTAACTGAACTCTGATAGCAAATATGTAATGCTAACAACAGATCTGCACTTGTAACTGGAAGGTGGGGGGAAGATACATGAACACACAAAAATATATGTGTGTGTATGTGTAAATACCAGCATCAAACCCCTTTGCCTGAATATGGTGTCCCTACAAGCTGCTTTGAAACTCCAGTTGTAGGGTTTCCACAGAAGAACGCAGCGCTGTGCAGATACCTGACCGCGCTCTAATTCTCCTGTTAGGAGGCTGTCACCGTCTCGCCTGTGTTTCGCAGAGCATGCTCCGGTGGATAGAGTGCTAAGCTGTTGTGCTGCTTAGAGTTGTTCAGATGTCTTCGCATGGGAATGCATTGTGCAATGCAGATGTGTCCTTCCTTAATGCATGCTTTGTGATCCTCTGGACAACGCCTGTGGAGATCGCAGCTTCAGGAACTTAATAATT